ATTCACCCAATTAATCAAATTTGACATTCAACACTGTCAATAATGTTGAGAGTTTAATAATTTTTTGGAGGTTAAATTGATAAAACCGTTGTAAATTTGAATGTTTGAATTAATGATATTTTCGAAGCTAGAGCTTGAGCTCAAACACGAGCTTGACTCGGTTATAACCAAGTCAAATCAAGTTCGACTCAGTTCAAAATCTAACTATTAATCATTTAAAATTTTATAAAAATTAATATGAATTAAAAATATTATATAATATTCGAGTTTAAGTAAGTTTGTGAACTACTTGGTCGACTCGATATGCGAACTTCTCGAACTCAAGCTCGAGTAACTCACGAGGGCTCAATTCATTTGTAGGTCTTGTGGTCCTTACCAAAAAGCGAACACACTGGGATCTATATATTTGTTGTAAGATTGATTGCAAGTAAGAAAATTATATTTGTTTAAAACAATGAAGTGTTATATATTATTGAGCCCCACGATAAGAATGGTAGACTCCACCGTGTGGAATCCCAGCCCGAAGTCAAAAGTGAAAATAGAAAATATCAAAAAGGATATGGGAATTCCCGTAATGCACATGAAATGATCGGCGGAGTTGTCTACGCCATAGAATCATTAATCGGTTAATAATCGTATTAATTGAATAAAATAAAATAAATAAAATGAAACGCCCAACAACTGAATAAGAAAATCAATTTCCGAAAACAACAAGCGTTCTCTCTGTTTCACTGCTTTTCATCTTCCTCCTCACAGGTAACATAACCACCTTTCCTCTTGCTTTCTATCTCTACAGTATTATTATTATTTTTATTTAATTAAAAAAATTTATTAGTTTTAGGGATTTGGAAGTGTTTTGGTTTCTGGAAACTTTGTTTTTGTAACAGAATATTAAAAATTTTGACTTTCAATTAATGAAAATCTTTTGGGGTTTGGTTTGTGATATTAATTTACATCTGGGTTTTTTTTTTAATAAGTTTTATTTTTGTGATCTTGGTATTGATTGTGTTGCCTAATTAGAGAGGAAGCAAAGCCAGAAACAAGAGGGAATTAATTTCGAGAATCTGGGGATTTATTATGATGGTTGTGATCTGATTTGATGTATTGAAAGTGGGTTATGTTATGGGATGTTATGTATGAGTTGTTGATATTATTGGTTGGTTTTGGGCTTTGATTTCTGGGTTGCTTCGGTCTTTGATTTTGTTTATTTATTTGTTTATTTTGTTGGTTTGGTGGGTGGAAGCGCAGATGGGAAGGGGAGGGAAGGTTAATTCTAGGGAGATGTGAAGAGAAGGTTAGGTCAAAAGATAAGGGTTCTGATGATTCTGATGAGGATTATGTGGTTTAGATGAAGGGAAGATGTATCTGAGGATGAATTGGAAGATTATTGTTCTTCCATAGATGGATGTGCGTCGGAAGAGAGTTTCGGTGAAGAGAGTTTCGGTGGTTTTGTGAGAGGAGGAGGAGGAGGAGGGGAGTAGAAGAAGAGAAGGAGGTGAGGAAGGTTATTGGATCGAAAGCGGGAAAGAGTAATTTAGGAAACGGGGCTAAAACATCACGAAAGAGGAAAAGGGTTTGTATGGAGATGAAGAGAGGAGATTATGAAGGAGAGGAGGAGGAAGAGGAGGATGAGGAGTTTACCCTTGATGAAGATGATTGTTTGGATGATGAAGAGGAATGGTGGTCACGAAGAAGAAGACAACAGTAGGAGAATAAGAAGTTGGGTAGAAAAGGTTTGAGAAAAAAGGGTTCTGTTAGAGGTAGAAAAAGGAGAAAAACGTACTGCTCAGCAAAACCTTTAGGAAAGAAAGGAAGAAGAAACGTGGGTTGAGGAGGAAAGAAAGATGTGATGATGATGAGATTGTGATTTTCTTGATGATGCTCTAGTTGTGAGAGAAAAGAGCAAGACAAAATCAAGTCGGCAAAGGAGAAGGTACGTTGTACCTTCAGATTCAGATTTTGTGTCTTCTGGGTCACTGATTGTGATTATACAATCTCAGAGGAAGAGAGAGAACAAGTGAGAGAAGCCATGAATTGTGTGGGTATCTGAAAACTAGTTTAAGGGGTTCCGTTTCCTCAAAGAAAATTGAGGAGGAAGATAATTTACAGCTGCCAAAAAAACCTCCTGCAAGAAAGGGTAAGGAGAAGATAGAAGTAGTGAAGAGTGAAGTGGCAAAGCAAGTAGTGGTATATGTTTTTCTGAGGAAGATAAAAGAAGATTCAGGGGGACTCTGAACTGTTGCAGTCACTATTTCTGTTTCGCTTGCATCATGGAGTGGTCAAAGTGGAATCACGTTGCCCTTTGTGCAAGCAGAGGTTCAAGACAATTACTAAGCCAGAAAGAGCACACAGCTGGTGTTGATTTGAGATGTGGTGATTCAAGTACCCAAACGTGATCAGTATGTTATTAGTTGCCCTCACTGTTCTTGTGCTTCTGTTTACTTCTTCTTACTTTATTGTTTACTTCCCGTTTGAAATGAGATTACTGTTTACAGGTCTATCAACCATCTGAGGAAGACCTCAGGAGTTATCTTGACCCCTATGAGAATGTTATTTGTTCTGAATGCCACCAAGGTGGGGATGATGGCCTTATGTTACTGTGTGATATCTGTGATTATCAGCAAACACATATGTGTTGGCCGGGCGGGTCGTACCGGATGGCAATTGGTACTGTGACGGTGTAGGCTGTGTGCTCCGGATCTTCTAGTTCCAGCTCAAGATCCTTACTGATCAAAGGGCCCACACAACTTGTTTAATAGACCATCCCCATCTTAAGTTTTGGGGAAAGTTTAGACCTCCTTCATTGTCTTCACTCGTATAAGCTAACTCAGGGTTCTGTAAATCTTTCATACACTGAGTTAATTTGGAGATGTTCAGGCAGTCTCCAGGATCTGGAGCAGGGGCACCAACCTCTCTGGGAGGCGTGGATACACCGTCAGATACAAAATCTCCTTTCTATTAATAGAATGAATTATATGGCTGGTAGTGCTGATGGTATGTCAACCCCAAATTTGAGTAGTGACATTTTGAACTCTCAAATAGATCAGGGCAGGGAAACAGTAGTTCAACCAGCAAGTGCTCAAGGAAATACGGAGCAACTGCATCAGACAATCGTGAGGAGAGATTACACGAGTATCCCTTCTTCAGTAGAAAATAGTGAAATTTTTGCTCCAAGATTAAGCATTTGAGAAGGCAAGCGGTTCAGGATCAACTATGACTAACATGAATGGGCTGCCAATTAACATTGTGGCCTGAACTTGCTGGGATCAATTTAATACCATCTATGAGCAATTCCGACAGTGCGGCAGTATATCAAATCTTGGGTCTGAGTGGTTGTTGTCTCCTTTGCACGTAGAGATGAGGGTTTTTTATGTAGCTAAGGAACAGTTGCAATCAATTGTCAAAAGCCATTTGAAAAACTTGTCCAGAGATATTGAACTTGGTAGAATTCTCATTTCTTTAGCTTCTACAGCCAGTGTTTTGTAACCCATTTCAGTTCCAGAAAACAAAAATATCCTTATGCATGCTTATATTTTAACATGGTATGGATTAGGATTAGGTTCAATTGAATGAATTTTGATTACCCTGCTTTTGATAATGTCAAATGACCCCTTTTTTTTTAGCAGACCACAGTATATTCAAGGACATCGCAAGAAGTTTACACACACCATTTTAGCCGCTTGTGGTCTTGAACACAGGAGGAGTGAGGTTCACTTGGCATCACCATCAATTTGTTCTCATGTAGAAAGATTAGCAGCTGGGAGACTAGTTTGATGAAAGGTTTCTGCTCTTTCGTTTGATACTTTTGTAAAAGATGTAGTGAAGAGAATCATGGACACAAGGATGCCGCAAGGGTAAGTTAGGTCTTTAGGATTGATGCAGAGAGATTTCTATGCTTATGTCTTTTTGATAGGAGATAGACAAAATTTATTGTAACTTGTTTATAGCGATAATTAACTGAGTACATTGAGCACCAATAAAGTGCTCCATTCTTGTTTGGTCATTGTATTAGTCATTGTTTAGACTGGACAAGTCAAACTATTTTTACTACTCACCAATTTTTCTGTTGCTGTATATATCTTTCCAATGAATAGGATCAGATATTGAACTACCATCTTTTGATGATCATAGGTATATGATTATTTATTGGACAAATATTTATTTATACACATTCCTCAACTTAATGAAGTGACACTGAAATATCATTTATTTGGGAATAACCATCACAGAATCCCCTTCTTCCTTGATAAATACATTATCTTAATTGGTTGACCAATATATCATCAAGGGCAAAATCAACTTTGTGAGATGTTGGTGGTGGTTTTTTTTTTTTCCTTGAGTTAGTGGTATATATCATATATGTCTTTATCAAGCTATTGTAAACTCCAATTCTTGTTTGATAGAATAGATAGTAAAGTTGACAAGCCTGTGAGGCAGTTTATAAATTTTTTTTATATCGAGACTCGAGACTTTAGTTTGTAAAGTTTGAATTCTCTTAAACCAAATAGAGGCTTTTGGAATGAAAGACGTTTGCATAATGTCCAAAATTCCGTGAAGACTTTAAACCTAAATCGAACAATATTTACTTGATTGAACAATAATGTAAAAAAGAAAAGAAGAAAAAAAGAGAAAACTATTCAGCTGAGTCCAGGATAGTGGGCATGCTTTTGTTTTACTTGTTGCCTGGGTCCATGGCTCTCCTTTGTCTCATTCTGAAATGTTGTAAGTTTCAGTGGTTACATTTAGTGGAAAGAAGCACATTTTCCCACTAATTATGTTAGTTGAATATTTATAGTTTTTTTGGGTAAATCACAACCAACACTCTAAAATGGGTGATCATGAAGGTCCTTGGTTTTGTTTTGCTGTGCTTTGAAGATTCTAAAAGGGGCAATATGACAGTTGTCTAAGTTATGCATTGCATAATGCTTTTAGAGATACTAAAATGGGCAACTCATTATACCAGAAGAAAACATACTAAATTTCTGTCCATGGAAGGACTCTGATGGTAGTAAATTATTTTCTTTTTGCTCTTTCATTTTAAATTATATGATCCGAAGATTGAAAGCTGACATTAAAGTCTGTTCAGGCCTAATAAGAAACATACTCTGGCAATATAGATTACACTCATTCTACTACACCTTATTCGACACTCTGCGCTTAATACATAGGCATATATTACTACAAACCATAGACTGCAGGGGTTTGTGGCTGAAAATTTCAAGTCCACTGTTGCTGCATCATCCTCATCATCCACCATGGTTTATTCTTCATAAAATATCATCAAGAACGGTGGACAACAACAACCCTTGAACAAACTCAGACCTTTTCGCCTTCTCTTCCCGATCCTTAAGGGACACAGGAGTCGACTGGAAATTTCTGTTACAGAGAACCAAAATATTAGAATAAGGAAGTGGGGAGAAAAAAAACATTGAAACAAATGATGATCCAAACATGGATATACCGAAATGTCCTTAGGTTGGAGTGAGTTATGAGCCACAAGATAAAAAAGTTCGTCAGTCTGGATTGTTTAGAGTAAGTATATCAACAATTGGAGATAAAATGACCTAAGCATTGCTTCCCTCATAGCAACCTCTAACAGGATTATGAGATTGATTAATATTGTAAGAAATATGGCCCAAAAAGGCATTCTCGATCTTCCATCAGGTTTCAAACTTCAGGTATTCAACGAAGCAATGTAGATGCTATGCACCGTGTAGAGTAGAAAGGCTTATGAAGGCAAATGCTTTTTGCAGTATATACAAATTTGTCAATTTTTTTGAGAATAAATTAAACTTAGCTGGATACAGCAAAAAATTAAGGTATCTTCTGGCGCCGATACAATGTCCTGAAGCTAGAAAAGTAACCTTTGTCCTCATAAAACGTCCATCAGCAAGCCCCTTCAACTGATCTAACGCTTCTTTCAAAATTTCCAAATACTATTTTCTTCCTTTGCAATATTAAGAAACTAATGGAAAAAGGTTGTTATGAGACTTCCACTCGTAAAACTACATAATTCCTTAAGCCTATATTCTAGCAAATTTTGCTAGAAAAGGAAACTGATCTTCTGAAGTAAACAAAGATTAAGAATCATGGTTCAAATATCCTTTATATAAAGAAGCAAGCAAATATTTAGAGGCAGCCAAGCCAGATACCATTACCACATAGGCAAATTTTCTAATGCATGTAAAACATTACAGGGGGGAATGCATAAAAGTAAGCTTACCGTTCTGAAACCTTCTCAATAGAGCTTTTCTTGGCTGAGCTTGTTGCAGAAGATAAGTGAGACTGGACACTAACAGAATCATCAGACACAGGCAAGATGAATGAAGATAATAAAGGATCCGCTGCCGCATTGGACGAGGAAACTATACAAGAAGAACCCCCAAAAAGGGTGTGCAGATTTCCCTCCCGCAGCTCTTTCCTCAACAAAGAAAGTGTCGAATGAGATCCACCTTTACGTGTTTTCCTCTTGCGCTGCATGTAATCATGAATTAAGGAATTCACAGCATTATGCCAAATCCACATCATACTCATGTTTTGAGAAGAAAGCCTTAAAAACTTTAAGTTAGTAACATTTATACTAAAAGCCAAAAAGAAAAAAGTCTGCCTAGCAGAATGACTTAAAGCTACTTGTACGAGAATATCTTGAAGATGTAAACAGCTAGAGATCAAATAAGATGAAACAAATTCATATTATGGAAAGTCAATCAACTCTTAACATATTAAAGGCATGAAAGTAAGCTTGAGAATATGCATGACAGATGCCAACAGTAAAATTGTGCGGACCTGCACAATGACAGACTATGAGGCATGACTTTCAGACCAAAGCTTGATGAGGGAAAAACATAACTTATATGCTCCAAAGGTTTCCCTCTTTTTTTTTTTTCAAAAGATGAATAGCCAACTTGGTTTTGACAAACCATTAGTATGACATCATCCCAAAAAAATAATTTTGCAAAGTTATTTCTGAAGTTTTATGCATGTTGAATGCTTCAGCATATTATCTAGCAATTGAGCACAAAAATGATTAATGAAGGCAATAATTCAGAAATTCTTAAAACATACAAATGCATCAGGGAAAAAGGATATCTTAAATATATTTCCATGTTGTAGAGTTATGTGTGCAACCATATCAACCCCCACCCTCATTGAACAAACTGGACAAACCTGCAAATAAAGAGCGCCCAATGTTAGTAAATAAAGATTTAATAAGTACTTTTCCCAAATGGTGAATATGAATCCTAATCCACAACATAATAAATAGATTCTGGAAAAGAAAAACCCAAACCTCCATTAGTCCAAACACACAATAACCTTTTGGCTTCAGTCTTGTTATTTTTCTTGCTAAGATGATTTTTTTTCAGTCTACTGCATAACGAAAATTCCCCTATAACCCGACCAATCCGATCTCTCCTACGGGATGAAGAACACCATCAAATGCAAGTAAGTGCCTACATGGGAAGTTAATTCCCATCTTCTAAATATAGAAGCCCTCCTCCCCAGCTAAGCACAGTCTGTTATTTGATATGAATTCATGTCCATTTGATGCTTTGGGTGTTACCTTTCCAGTGATGTCAATTCCCATGTGTTAAACCTAAGTCAAATCAAGGTTTCAAGTCTAACTAACATCAATCCATGACTATCAGGAGATGACGAAAGCTGAAAATAAAGCTTACAGATTTTACTGATTATATCCCTCAATCAGAAAAGGAAAGACCTTTGAAGCTGAATACAAAGCCTACAAAATTATACTGACAGTATCCAATCATGAGTTCAGATTTAGGCCACCTCAAGTGAGTCCAACTACAAGGGATCCTGAAGACAGTTCCTGTTACCACTCATCTATACAGCAGTTGGTTAAAATTTAAATATTTGTTGATTGAGACTAACGGGCAATAATGACTTTAAAAAATATATATCAAAACTAAATGTTTCTTTAATATACATCATCAATAGGAAATCTAAGAAACAAAAAAAGTTACCATCATCAGTTTGAACTACATGCAAGAGCTGAACAAGAATCTTATAAAGAAATATCCAAAATTTCTAATTTGCAAGTAACATACCCCATTCTTTGCCTCCACAGGATGCTCGTCATCAATGTGGCAACACAAGCCAACAATATCAAAATACTCTGAGCAAAATGGGCATGGAAATTCCTCCCTTATATCATCATCTCCATCAATTTCTTCAAATCCCATGAACATATCTGCATTCACATGAGGTCGTTTCAATCAATGGAAAAATTGTGAAGTTCCCAAATATGAACTTTATAGAACCTAAGGCATTTATTTGAGCCAAGTAAGAAGAGGAAAAGAAACCAAAACAAAATAACTGGATCATACACTTTATATATATACAGGGGGAGAAAAAAGAAAGAGAAACTTGCTCCATGTTAAGCAAAGCATTTATATTGAGCTTGGCTGATTAAGGTTGTGTGAGATATTGTGGTCTAACCATTGTAGATCAAATATGAAATTGAAACAACCTCCTATTTGCTCCTCTTCTTACCCTCAATTAAAAGACGAATTAAAAATTTCCAAAGGCTATGCGAAATAGGTGTCTAGCATTTCTTAAATAAGAACTTTTACATGATTGCACAACAATGAGTCCCAAGCTCCCAATATTTATCTTCTCTCCTTTGCTTCATTTCCACAGCAACCAGAAACTTACACTAATCTTGGCTAAAAGCTTCCCATATAGTTTCTTTCCTCTTTCTATAGTTTATAAGCAACCAAGCAAATACTGTCAGCTTTAGGTTCCACGCCCGCATCATTCACTCTTTCAATTACACTTTTCCACTTTACACAAGCATCTATCATCCAAAACACATCTAATCACTTGAGGCAACCTGTAGCCCCTACAGTGAACGAACCCTCGCCTTGGCTAGCGCTGGGGGATGTCAAATAGACACCCCCACACCACAACAAAATTGTAATGAATTAACTCAATCATTTCTCAATTCTGGGTTCCTCTAAAAATAACTTCAACTCAACCAAACCACATAATTGAATACAATTATCCCCATAATTACAAAGAAACAGATAAAGAAAAAAACAAAGTTTAAAATTAAAACTGTAAAAAAAAATCCCTACTTTTTAACATCATACCCCTAATTTCTATCATTTCTCAGCAACCAAACAAAGCACAAGATAAATAAAAAAAAAAAAAAAACCAGAAAGAGTAAATGAAAAGCTGACCAGATCGCGATTGAAGAGCAGACTGGTATCGTTTCGAAGCAGAAGAGAGACGAGCACTCCATGAATCAGCATCCATGTTTATGAATAAAAAAAAAATAACAATTAACAATAAAGCTCTCTCCTTTAACAACCCCTTTGAATAGTTAGACAAATAAAAATGAAATCTTGGGGAGTTATCTGCAAAGTCCGGATCTTCAAAAGCAATCAGATGATGATGATGATGGAGAGATGAAGAGGGGTGAATCAGAGAGATTTTGAATCAATGATAAATGGGTGGATTGGTAGGTTTAGGATTTCAGAGAAAAGGAAGTGTTATCTTCTGCTCTCTTCTTCTTTTATATTGTTCATTTATTTTTTATTTTTTATTTTTTATTTTTAATTATGAATTATTAAATATTGTGATATTAAAATATATTAATTTTATAATAATTTTAGTATCTACCTTCATTGTCTTGTTGTTGAATGAAATTCGATTAGATATAATAATTCAATTTAAAAATTACAGATAATGATGACGATTAGGTTATTATTATTTATTTTTTTATTATTAACTAAGATATTCGAGTTAATTTACGTACACATCGATTAATCATTAAGAGAAACTATTTCATAGTAATCTATCACAGTTAATTTTTATATTTTATAAATTATATTATTTTCTATATAAAATATAAAACTCTTTAGGTGTTAAACACTTGTATTTCTTTTTATTGTAATAACTTTATTTAACTCTTTATTTTCAATAATTTAATCATGAAATTTATGTCTAAATTCTCAAAAATTTATGAGCTTAAGTAAAATAGAAAAACTTTAGCAAACCTTTCTATACTGATTCATTCTTTATATATGAATAATTTTTATATAATCATATAAAAATCTAATATCGACTTGAATCACTTATAAATAAAAATTAATTTTATAGTTTTAAATCCTTACATACATATAATAATAATTATTTATATATTGTAAAAAAATATATGATATATTATATTAAGATATTGATTTTTGCTGTAGAGTTATTATCATATTTCCGAACGTGAGGGTAAATAATTATTCGTCAACATAGATACATTTTTACAGATATGGTTTTCGACTTTTGACTTTTGAGCATATTTAAAACTTATTCTTTAACCTCTATCTTTGTGGATGCATAATAAATCCTTTAATTATTAGGGTTAATTATACCTAATAGAAGAGACAATTAACGGATTTATCCAAAAAAATATTTATTCTTTAGAATCAATAATTTACGTTATAACCTCTTCGTAGTAATAAAATTATATTATAAAGGTTGGGTTTGTAAAACAAGGTCAATGATCTGTAAATTATAAAAATATATAAAAATAAGAATAGTTAAATTTCAACCCGACCCGATTACCCAAGGCCCCATCCACTTAACAGAAGAACAATAAGTTAAGACCACTTAACCGACCGAACACAAATTGACTCAACAAATAGGGTTTTGTTTTTTCTTTTATATATATAAAAATTAAATCAAAAATAAAAATTACACTTCCTTTCCTTCTTCAACTGTACAGCACGTGACTTTTCCATTTCGGTCACGTGACCCGGCGGAGCAAAAAGACTTCCAATATTCTTGTTCTTGTTCTTCTTCATCATCATCTTCATCTTCAGATCCACTACAATACAAAACTACGACGATAAATTTGAATTCTAAATCGAATTCGAATTGTTCTTTGATTTGATTTTTAATTTTAGTTTTCATTTTTTTTTTTTTTTTTGGTTTTGAATTAAAATGGCGACGAGGAATCGGACCTTGATATTCAAGAGGTACAGAGATGCGTTGAAGACGGTGAGGGTTCCGGCGATTTCGTCGTCGCAAAATTCAGCGAACGGACCGGTGATCGAGATGGTCAGCTCGTCGCTGTTGAATCCGAATCGGAAATACGCTCCTCTCAGTACGGAGGATCCTGGTAATTCAAGGTACTCTCTCTGTCTATCTCAATATTTTACGTCGTATTATTTGTGTAAGTAGATGTAATGTTGCTTGTTTCGATTTAATTTTGGAAAGTTTGAGATCCATTTTTTTTTTTTTGTTGGGATAAGAAGTAGTTGTAATTAGTTAGTTATGAATTTGATTTTGTTAAGTTGAAGAAATCAGTAGTTTTTTTAATGGAGATCAATGGTTAGGTCAATTTGAAATGTCCTTAATGTTTAAAGTTTGGGAATCATCGACATTTGGAAAATCTCAGATGGCTGCAAATGTAGAAGGATTATGTTTAACAAACCTTTAAATTTATGAAATTCTGGTTTCCACGATGTAAGAGAATTTTATGTTGAATGTTATGGTGGGGAGGTTTCCAGATTGTCTGGAATCAAATTTTGGAAAGTAGCATATGGTTGTTGGCAGAATTGGACAGTGTCCGCAAACGTCAGAGGATTATGTTTGAAAACCTTGAAAGTATATGGGATTAGAAGTTTGATGATGTGAGAGGAGTATGTATTGAATGGTATACTGAGGAGGTCGATGGATCTCCCCGGAATCGAATTTTGAATTAGTAGATGGTTGTTGGCAGACTTGGATATTGGCTGCAGATGTTGAAGGATTATGTTTGAAAACTGTAAATTAGATGGAAGTCGGAGTTTGGTGATGTCAGAGGAGTATATATTGAATTTTGTAGTCAGAAGGTAGTCCGATTAAGTAGAAGGTGGTGTGAGAGCAAGGGAGTGATTTTATTTCATGGATTTCTATTCATACTTTAATGTGATTACCTGAGAAAGAAAACATTGATAAATGAGTTGAAATACAGATTGCTACTTTATTTTTCTTCTAAGTTTGGCCGCTTATAACTACTTTTCACTAGTTTACCTGTTACTTATTATGAAATGTGTGTTCTTGCTGTAGATTTCTATTGAGTGAAAATGAAAAAAAATAGTTTTCTTGCTGCAGTAAAGGTGCAGTTACAGTTACAGTTGGTTTACCACCATCTTGGGTGGATGTATCTGAAGAAATAGCAGCTAATGTGCAACGTGCACGAACGAAAATGGCTGAGCTAGCCAAAGCTCATTCCAAGGCTTTAATGCCTTCGTTTGGAGATGGTAAAGAAGATCAGCACATGATTGAGACTCTTACCCAAGAAATAACGAACCTTTTGAGGAGATCAGAGAAGAGATTACAACTACTTTCAGCTTCTTCGACTTCTGAAGATTCAAATGTTAGAAAAAATGTGCAGGTGTGATTTTGCAGCCTTTGAATTTCCTGTAGTGTAATATGTTACTTGTTACTAGTTGCACAGTTTTGTTTATATTTGTTAGCCTTTTCCTTCAACTCCTATATGGGAGGAAAGAAATTAGTTATTCTTTTTAGTCTGGCATTCACTTTCTGAACTGTGGTCTATCCAAGAATATGTCTGAGCTCATGTAACCTCTCAGATGGTTGGATATCTGATTAAGTACGCTTATGTGTGCTCCTTTTAATTGCAGCGATCTCTTGCCACAGACCTTCAGAACCTCTCCATGGAGCTTCGTAAGAAACAGTCAGCTTATTTGAAGCGCCTCAGGCAACAAAAAGAGGTGAGGAAAAAATTTTGCCTTAAAAAGTGCTGCTGAAGTGTTAACACTTTTCAGTTTTTTAACAATTTAATGTTCAAATATATTTGTAGTCATGTTATTGCGCACCTTTTTGATTACGTAAATTGTAACATAGTACTTATGCTGTATACTACTCTAATTTTGGGCTATCAAAGTAGTCTGGGCTGCATGTAATTAACAAAAGGAGAATGTTTGGTTGCTTTTTGCTGCTTCATTTTCTCTTAGTTATTTAGAACTAATCTCTTCTGGGTATTGAACTCTTTGTAGTTTATGAAATATTCATTTGAAAAATTGTCCTATATTGTTGGTTTGTGATGCAGGGTCAAGATGGAGTTGATTTGGAGATGAATCTAAATGGAAGTAGATCTAGAACAGAAGACGACGATTTGGATGACATGGTATGCAGACATTTTACCTTCTCCTATATAAAGCTATTGTTAGATTTCATAAAGTCCGTGTAACATTAGCTCATATGAGTTTGTAACACAGAATTAATTTACTAAACAAGGATAACATTAACAATGCTTTTCCCCATTTTCCATTTATATTAACTTTCAATAGTGGTTCTTTTATGCATTTTCTTGCCTCGTTTGCTTATATCAATACTTAAAAAAAAATATTAGGTGTTCAGTGAGCATCAGATAGCGAAGCTGAAAAAAAGTGAGGCGTTTACAGCAGAAAGAGAAAGAGAGATCCAACAGGCAAGTGGAAGTTGTTCACTCACTCTTTTTCATACTTTACGTAGACCTTATGTTTTTCTTATCAGCTAATACTATTTTCTTCCTCTTAATTATTCTTTTGATAGGTTGTGGAATCAGTAAATGAGCTTGCTCAAATTATGAAGGATCTTTCAGTACTTGTAATAGACCAGGTTAGAAGCTGTTCATCCTTTAAAAAGTTGAGAAACTTTTCAAAAGTTCTGAGTCACTGATTTAGCTTATCTTGGAGCAGGGCACTATTGTTGATCGGATAGACTACAATATTCAAAATGTTGCAACTACCATTGAAGAGGGTCTCAAACAACTTCAGAAGGTACTCTTTTCTCCTCTTAGTTTCTCTCTCCCCATGTGCGTGCATGTGTGCTTGTGAATTTACCTAAATGTTTTGTTTCATTTGGTCGGTCATGCAGGCCGAGAGAACACAGAAACAAGGGGGGATGGTAATGTGTGCGACGGTGCTAGTTATCATGTGCTTTGTCATGTTGGTCCTTCTAATCCTCAAGGAAATACTGTTCTGATCTTTGAACATAACTATTTCCATGATTCATTTACATGTGATAATCCTACCCTTCTGAGAATTTTACATGCATAAAGATGATGATGCACACACCGCCTTGCAAAAGAACACGGGAGTTTCGAACTGCCCCTTTTATGTATACTACCAGATTAGACGGCTACTTTGATTTACTCGATTTCTCTTTTATTCTTTTATAGGAAAACAAATGAATATCCTGAAAAATGTATAGAGCTTAAAAGTGTATTTTGTCATGTTTTATGGATTCTTCTGTTTTTACCTCGGACATACAGTAACTTGGTTCCCACAGTGCTTCCGTTTTTGAGGAGAAGAGGCATTTGATTTGTTTGTATCAATTTTTTTGTGTAATAAAAAAGAGAAGCATTCAATTTGACCTTTTCTTTGGCTTTCTTCTTTTAAAGATCCAGTTTTTATGAGATGTACCCAGAAAGAAAGGACTACTAAAAAGGGTATTTAGTATTTAATAGTTGGATTTTCAGAAGTAAATGTTAAAAACAAATTATATAAAACCTAGATCAACTTAATCAATTTATAATGATTTACATTTTGGTTTGGGGTTTTTATTTTTTGGTTGACTGGAGTGTGATCAATCCTCCAAGCCTTGAAGTTAATGATCGAGTATACTCTTCAATGACCATCTTTATTAGGGATCGACGTGACTTAAACTCAGGAATTCTTGAGTAATATACTTAAGAGTTATTCTCTAACCTAGAGGTGATGATGGGCTATGTCGGGCCAAATTTTTCACGGGCCACCATGCCATGGGCTGCGTGGTGTCATGCCAGACAATCAAAACTCAAGGTCCATGGCACAGCGCATGACCCAGTGGGTCATGCCGTGTCGTGCCTTCGTAAGCCAGTCCATGTGTCGCATAGGCTTTTCTCAAAAAATTTAAATTTTTTTATATTTTTTAAATTCGTGCGCCGTGCTATGGGGTCTCCGTGTCATGGTGGGCCGTGCCAAAAAAATTGTGGGTCGCGCCGGCACCTCTAGTCCAACCACTCAATCACCTAGGAATGGTTTTGGTTTTGGGTTGAGGTAGAGGTGGAGTTGAATCCACAATTCGACTCATGAATTGTTGAAATTTCTTCTTCTTCTTCTTCGCACATAATGGTTCACTTTCAGGAGATAGGCTATAGGGAGATTGAAGATATACTGATATTCCATCAGTTGTTTCCTCCACTGCAATGCAGAACAGAATGATGCAGAGCTCAGAAACAATGATCTGTTCTCCAACCTTCCAACTCGGAAACATTCCATGCGCGACACAAGCCATCAAGTAATCATGCACCTTGTAACAATATTCCACCCTATCTTCCTCCCTAGAATATAGATGTATTTTCCATTGATTCAGAGCAACGTTGAAGGCGCCTATATAACAAGAAGGCAAAGAACAATAAAACACTCCTTTTTACCTGTATATAAACCACACCCCCATCTTTTGAATCAAGAACCACTGCATTATCAAAGACTGATATGTTGTTGATGTGGTCTCTTGTGCTGCGTGTTGTCGTCTATAACAAGGGTGGTCATAGAGCAAACAAGAGGAGGAATTGTAGGCCAGTAACCATGGCAATTTGTCAGCAGTAGTACTGCTCGGAAACGGGCCTGATCAACATAAGGAAGACGGTTGATGATACAAGAAGTTTATTGTATCATCAGGAAGATTGGACCATCACCAACCTGACTGCAGCCTTGACTGCCTTTTCATCTTCTTTGCCATTGTGTTATCAAACCTCTCAGATTGAGTTCAGTAGTTGCTGCATATCGCAAGCTCTGATAATGTGGAATATTGTAAACTTTTCTGCACAGTTTTCCATAACTACAAAGAATTGAATACAATANAATTTCTTCTTCTTCTTCGCACATAATGGTTCACTTTCAGGAGATAGGCTATAGGGAGATTGAAGATGTACTGATATTTCATCAGTTGTTTCCTCCACTGCAATGCAGAACAGAATGATGCAGAGCTCAGAAACAATGATCTGTTCTCCAACCTTCCAACTCGAAACCATTCCATGCGCGACACAAGCCATCAAGTAATCATGCCCCTTGTAACAATATTCCATCCTATCTTCCTCCCTCGAATATGGATGTATTTTCCATTGATGCAGAGCAACATTGAAGGCGGCAAAGAACAATAAAACACTCCTTTTTAATACGCATCATGGAACAACAGGGCGGAGCACGACACCAAATCTTGCTCCATGATGCGTATCCGGGCTTAAATGTGTTGATAAAATATTAATCAGATTCGGAAGAGGCAAACAAGGTGAATATCAAACAATCCGAAGAAGAATGTGGTAATTCAATGATTAGTGAAGGGATTGTAGAAGAAGAGTGAACTTAGGAAAAGCGTCCGGCCATCTTTTGAATCAAGAACTACTGCATTATCAAAGACTGATATGTTGTTGATGTGGTCTCTTGTGCTGCGTGTTGTCGCCTATAACAAGGGTGGTCATAGAGCAAACAAGAGGAGTAATTGTAGGCCAGTAACCATGGCAATTTCTCAGCAGTAGTACTGCTCGGAAACGGGCCTGATCAACATAAGGAAGACGGTTGATGATACAAGAAGTTTATTGTATCATCAGGAAGAATGGACCATCACCAACGTGACTGCAGCCTTGACTGCCTTTTCATCTTCTTTGCCATTGTTTTATCGAACCTCTCAGATTGAGTTCAGTAGTTGCTGCATATTGCAAGCTCTGATAATGTGGAATATTGTAAACTTTTCTGGACAGTTTTCCATAACTACAAAGAATTGAATACAATAGTCCCCATGATCCCCTGATGATTGTAAAGAGTAAACCGTAAACATGATAAAACATCAAAATGAATAAAATATGTTTTAATATAAAATCATGAATTCAGCAAACAACCAGCTTTCGTAGCTCAGTTGGTTAGAGCACCCGTTTAGTAAGCGGGAGGTCTTGAGTTCGACTCTCAACGAAAGCATTTTTTTTTTCGCTTTTTCTTTTCTTTTTATTATATTATAATTGTTGATATCTTAAGTTAAAGAATTTGAGCTCTGGAATTAATGGTATTTCAGTGATTAAGATTGTATTTAAGTAGCATTTGAAAAAGTTTTTTTTTTTTTTTTTTTTGGTTTTTTTATTGATTCTAAAATATACAAATTTTGAACTCTTAAATTAATGTATTTAAATAGTTGAAACTAAATTAATTTGTCATTTCCAAAAAAATTTAATGCATTTGAAATAGAATTATGTCATTTTCCAGATTTCTTAATGCTTTTGAAAAAATTGAGATTACATTTAAACCATATTATTTTCAAGATGTACTAAATCAATAAAGATTACAATTTAATTTTTACAAACTTTTTTTTAAAACCTCAACGTGACAGATGACAATTGATCAACTCGTAATCGAGCAGGTGAAGCTCATTATGAGCTGACCAATTTGTAAATTACCACGTCGGAATTGTGGGAGAAAATTGTGAGATTGGATAATAAATGTAGTATTACCTGTTTTAAATATACATCTTGAAAATAACCTAATGGTTGCATCGAATCTCAACTATTCACAGAGCATTAACCTAAATAGTTTAAAGACAGTGTTATAATGTAAAAAATATGATGCCCTTAAAACTTCCCTTCCACATGGTGTTCTAAAATGATCATGGACAATGGATTCTTGCAAAGTTTCCATTACTATATGTAAATATATATCATGAGAATAAATAATAAGATGGCATTTTATCAATAAGAATGATTTAAAAATTACAACAACATGGTTAGTACATGAACACAGCAGGACTTAGAGCTACCTTGAACTCTTCTTCTTCTTACTGGAGTTCAAATCCGAGACTGCGAAAGTTTTTTGAACTAGGTCAGAGGTTGATAGCTTCAGGTCGAAAGTCAATCTTTGAAGAATCAATGAAAGGACCTTCACATCCGACATGGCTCTGTGAGCCGAACCAGCCAATGGTATACCATAGAGTTTGCGTAGAGCTTGCAACGATAGTCCTGAAGTAAGCTTTGATCCTGTTGACAATGTCGATATCAGAACATCAAGTTTCTGTCCAAAATTACATGCCACAACCCATATAGAAGACGCAAAAGATAGATAAATAGATTGACTGACTCACCACCAGACTTCTCCTTTTCACGTGCCAAAAGAAGTGTATCCAAAAACCGCCAATTCGGGGGAATTTCTTCAGAGCAACGACTGAATTCCTTAACCAGAAATGGTACATCAAATGAACGTGCTTTGTGAGCAACAAACACCACAAATCCCCCAGGTTTCTCACGGCTTTTAACATACTGTTTGAATATCGGTATCAGCTCCTCCATCCTACACAAACATATAACAGTAGTTCTATAAGTAGAATTTTTTATTTTATGCAACTGTTCACAAATACTTTTCATGCACAGGACATTTGCATATAATCCCATATGATATATCTGCATTGGTGAACTTTACTGAAAAAAGAAAGATATGAAAACAATTTTATAGAAACCCATAGCTTCAATCCATGATAATGCTTCACCTAATTTGAAGAGCAGAGAATCTAACTTGATTGAAATATAAACTGAAAACAAAGAACCATACAGGTCCATTAGTTACGGATCAGGAACACGACAATAGACTACTTTTTTCTTGAAACAGGATGAGAGATATTCAATCTAAGGCAAATGAACTTATGGTTGCAAGTTATCCTAGAGTTATATACCAATCCTATTTTTTAACCATCAATGTCGGGCTAGATATTGAAACTCAAACAGAAGCAAAAGCAAACTGAATATTGAGATAGAAATTACACTCGATAGTCATCATTATAAGAATTGTGTTGCTCCATCTCCCCAAGGACAGCCTCGTATTCCAAATATTTAAACTAGTGCCTAGCAGTTAAAAACCTTTTAAGTTGCCAAAGTTAACCATGCAATTCAACATAACATACATGTTCCATATTCAGTCATATGCATGCTGATACTATTTATCCTAGAGGACAGCCAAATACTTGATTCATCCATGCCCAAGTTCAGCCAAATCTCTACTTCGCTATACAGGAAAAATAAACTTTAGCTTATCAGTACAAGCACCAAAGTACTCATAATTTTTATAAATAAAAAAGAAGTTCAACATAACCATTTTGTTGAGAATCCTAGTACATCTATGAGGACAAATGTTTCACTATTCAGATAATCTTCTATATAGGTGGAAGATAACCAAAAAGAATCATCAGCAAACTAATGAAAAGTATACCTTGGAACATCAGGTCTGCAAACCATATGGGTTGAAATGCCATGAACATGTGCATTTGGAACATAACGATCAGGATTCACTAACGTCTGAAACATGCTGTTTTTACCCCCCTGGAGATCTAGAAGTGCAATCTCAATGATCATATCAAGCTCTCTGCTAAAGCCCGTGGTCTCGATGTCAAAAACAATAAGAGTAATGAGATTGGCAAATTCTTTGTCCTCAGCAATCTTTTTTCGAATATCAAAGTATTGGGTTCCTTGAATTTCCTTTATTTCTGTTTTATTTACATTTATTGTTGTGCTTGTTGAAATCTTTGAGTAAAAAGATTCCTCATTAATTTGGCTTGGTTTAATGCTTTGGGTAGTCTTGTTGCCTTCTGTTTTTGTAGTAATTGGTCTTCTAGTCCACCTCTTACTGTATTTTCCTTCCATTCCAGAGGCTTTGGAAGAAAGCATCCTAAAGCTCGAACTATTTCCATAATTCCTATGTATTCTGTGAAAATTTTCCCTTTCTAATCAATTCCCTACTTAAGACGTAGATCCTTGAACTTTCTAACTTTTTGTGTAGCCTCGACGGGAGATCTCAACTCAAGAACTATATTAGAACAAGATAGCAGCTGCAGAAGAATTCTGCATCACCAATGGAAACAATTGCCTTTGACCTAATGATCAAAGCAGAACGAATTTAGAGAAACCATGTACGATAAAACATGTAAGATAAAACCTGTAAAACATAATCAAATACATCTTTTCACCGAATCACCAACAACAAAATTGCATATTTCATATGAATTGAAATTGCCAAACACGAAAATTATATTTAGACTCTTGGATTCAGCAATTCTTGATAGTAAGGAATGTTACCCTCATGCAAAAGGGAAACAAAAGAAAAGAAGGTCTTAAGGCTCTTTTTGGTAGCAAAAACAAAATGGAATGCATAAAAGGAGCAAAGTTTCAAGAACATAAATGATAAATCGTTCATTATTTGGAACCTAAAAGCACAAAAACTTTAACTTATTTGAATCTAATTCATCTACTTGGCTTAGTAATATTTTACACTTTCCAAAAGCAAACCTAACACAAAAGATAAGATTCAATTTAGATTTTACATCTCTTCATCAGCATTCACAACAAATTAAAAAACTGAGCTTCAAAAACTGAGCTTCAATCAAACAAACCCAAGTAAGCAAAACATCTTAACACATCAAAATCTGATGCACAACAATTAAAACAAGCTCCCATACCCACACTAAAAAGATCCAACTTGAAATCCAAACATCACAAAACAAAGGAAAACAAACAGAACCCATTTCATCAAACAACACACCAACACTGAAACCACATTCAAATGGCATATCAAACTCACAAAGATTACATCATAACACCCCACACCAAATAAAAATGAAATATTTATCTTTTCCTTCGCTTTCTCGGCAACCAAACAAAAATAAACTGACTAGAGAGAGAGAGAGAGAGAGAGAGATAAACGTGCCTGGAAGTTATTTGGAGGTTGAAAGAAGCACATTTGAAATGAAAAGAGAAATTACAAAAACTTTGAAGAAAAGTATTTATAGAGAGAGGGAAGAGTGAGATGAGCCATATTTTTGTTTTAGAGAGTCAAAAAGATGATCACGTTAAGCAGAAAACGATGTCGGATTTAGCAAACAAATACAGACCCTTGCCAGAGCCTGACCCATGACTTGCGGATCTAATGCCCGATCCATATTTTTCGGTACTTGGACCCACCACATAGCCGCTCACTTTTTTTTTTTTTTTTGTTTCTCTCTCTTCTTTTAATTAAATTTTCTTTATAACATCAAAATGAAAATATATAATTGCATGAGTTCACTTAATGTACCTCTATTTTATTAATAAAATGATGTCACGTAATAATATAATAGCATGAAAATAATACTCCCTGGATGGTTAAGATTCGAATCCCCATCTCAGCATCCACGATTTAAGTGAAAAACCGTGACAATGGGTTTTTTTTTGGTAACTAGAAATGTCCAGACCGGTTTATACACATCTCAACTAATCCCTCAAAACCCTAAAATTGATAAATAGATAAATCTCCTCAATGATCTCGAACTCAGAACATGCTAGTTAACCTGGACCACCCGGTGATGGTGATGGTGGTTTATAAAACATATGATGAGCATGCCTTTTAGTGATAAAAATTAATTTTTTGAAGTAATGGCAAGAATCCGTGGTATATTTTATTTTCTTAAGAAATCCAATACCCATGTTTAGGTGGTGTACGTTTATAGCAAACTCAAACATGGGTCGGGTACTTGGAAAAATCAATACAATATATATATATATATTGTTGACCTTTACTAAAAACAAATAAAGCACCATTTGAGTTTATGCCTTGCTTGAGATACTAGGGCAAGTAAGATGAATGAAACCCAAAGAATTCCACCAACAAAAGCAATTACTTGGATGCCTAAACAAGTCATTCTGGTCAATACTTTTTGATCTCATTTTCATGTGTGGAAACTTGGGCTTCATTTGGGCTCATTCCCAGATCCATCTGAAACCCAAATCTGTTTTAGGGCAGGCTTTCTGTTCTGATTTTAGTGGAAGAAAAAAAACATCAGCATCTGCCATTGATTGGGTCGGCCTGGCCATGGCGAAATTGAAACAAAAAGTTATTAGATAAGAAGTTAAAAACCCCATCTACATTTCATTTCAGATGTGATATGAGCTTCCTTGGACCTCGCACTGTTGCAGGATACAACCCCAGAAGCTGATGAATCTCGTAAGTGTTTGTCCGATGCTACAAAATGGGAGATTTAAGATTTAACATATACTTTGTTTCATACTTACCAAACTAATATTTACAAATATTGATTGAGATGACATCAAAAACACAGGACCTAGTCCTGGATCATCATCATCATCATCATCACTTCACTCAATGTTGCTCTAAACTTCATTCTATCTTCAAAACAACTATGACCACTAACAAGGGGAAAACAAGAAAATTGGCCTAAACTAGATAAGTGAAGTGAAAGGGTGTTGTAATTTGGAAGTTGATTATGAACTAACTAATTAAGCAAAGACAAACCCACAAGACAAAGCCATCAAAGAGAAAGCTGCTTGTTCTTCCTCTTTCAACTTCCTTCTTCTTTGGCATCTTTGCTTCTTCTTCACCACCACAAATGGTGATGGTGACGATAGTGATCTCTGCAACATCATTTCTTTGCCCAAAACCATTAACCGCATCTTGAAAGACTCACTCAATTCTTTGTTACTATCATCGTTATCAACTTTGGCAAAAGCACTTTTAGCAGAAGCAGAAGCAGAAGCAGTTGTTGTAGTGGCGGTGGGGGAGTTTGTGTTTGTACTATTATGTGATGTTTTGTCTTTTCTCTTTTCAGGGCGCCTGTTTAAGCTTTCAATAACTCTCTTTTTCTTCCTGTGTCTGATCCCACATGCGTTACAAAGTGACTGAAACGAAAAATGCCAAAAACAGAAACAAACATCACAAACCCCCTTCCAAAAAAATCAAATATATGAACCACAAAAATCACAAACCCAGATCAACAAATGAATCAAATCAAATGGGGTGCAAACTTTAACATAAAAGAAAACTGAATGAACGATGAAAATAACAGCATCTTTTGAACTGTTTCTCGTGTTTTTCAAAAACAACGTTTTCATTTTGATCACTTGAAAAAGAAAAAGAAAAAGAAAAACAGAAATAGAAATAGAAACTTGGGCTTGTGTGAATCACCTTGGGACCAGCAGGGCCACCTCTCCACAAAGGAGTTTTTGTAGTCTTGCAATCCGTACAATACTTGATGTTGAAGTTGTTGCTTTCATTCATCATGTTGTTAAATGATTTCTGAATCAACAAAACCAGAGCTCAATAGTGGCGGCTGCTGCTGTTGCTTACCTTCAAACAAAAAGAGAACCCACAAAACAGAAGTCACTTTTTATCAACTCACCCTCTTCAAGTTCCTCTCAACAAGAAAACACTAGTGGAGATGAGAAAATCATGAGAAGAAAAGCAAAAAGAAAAAAGAAAAAAAAAGGAAGAAGCTTTGAGGTACTAAAAAGTGAGAGAAAGAAGACGGGGTTTAAAGGGCGTGTTTTGTTGGCACTCAACCGATAAACCGGCATGCAAATAAATCAAATAAATATAAAGGAAGAGTTTTCGAGAGAGAGAGAGAAACCCTAAAAACGAAGGTTTAGGGTTTTAGAAAGACGAAAATGCCCTTAGTCTGACAACTCAACCAGTCACTGTGGAGAATGAGTGACAGGGTGATATCAACACCCGCCAAATTTTGGAGAAGAGAGATGACACGTGGCAACATGCAGAGCCAGGAAGGTCTGAATCCTTCTGTGTGTTATCTCCTTATCTGTACTCTTGGAGGATTATGAGAAGATTCTTACTCGCTTAGAATGTTTTCTTTCATAAGGGCAGGGAAATTACGTCAAATTAAAACTTTTATATTATTTAAGATTAGGGTTTAGGGTTTACGATTAAAAGTTTCAACTAAAAGTAACCTTTTGATTAAGGGATTATGAGTAGCAAAAAGAGAATGAACTATTTTTTTGTCTTTAGAGAGGACTTTTTTTTCCACCCAAATATAATTTAATAACACTTTTTCACTCGTAGATTTTTAAAATATTATTTTATTATCTAAATTTATATTCTGACGACGAACAAAAAACTCAATTCAACTTGTTAGGACTTTTGAAAAAGGAGAAGTCAATGAGTCTTTTGGCGGTAAAAAATTAGATTTTGATAGTTGAGATTGATCGAAATTTGACTTAGAAGAGACGATTGTGTAAATCTTAATCGTTGACAAGATAACAAAAATAGGGTTTGAAAGATTTTGATGAGTAAAAATAAAATATAAATTTAAATAATGAAATGATATTTTAAAAGAGGGTGGGTGAAAAAAAAATCATTAAGCAATTATTTGGGTAGGAAAAAGTTGTTTACTCCTTTAAAGATAAGACAAAGAGACCCCAAACCTTTCACAAAAGGGGCCAAAGCCAGAACCATGATCCTCTGACTGGTTAATAAAAAATGGCCACCAAGGGCGACACAGAGGGGAAGGGGGAAACAGAAGGGCCTGAAAAGGAGATTGTGGTCTGGGGTTAATCACTTTCTCCAATGACATTAATCAAATAGGGTTTTTCCTATTTTTGATGGGTTTTTACTTTTAAGTTCCCCATGCTACAACTACAATACACTCAAAAGACTAATCAAGTGATATCTCATCAAAAGCTGAGCTTTTAAATCAGATCGTGGAAGACAGACAGTATGTGCTTAGAGACGGAAAAAGCTGAATCATTTTCTTGATAACATCAATTCATGTCAAAAATGGTTTTTTTGCAAAGCTTTTCCTGTACCGAGGATTGTGTTAAAACCTCAACTCTTTTAGGTAAACACCCGATCATTGCACATGCTCAATCCCGCCCCCTTTGCACTAGGGTGAGCATGGGCAATGATAGAACCGGAATCCACCCATAGGTTCCGGGTAGGAACCGAAACCAACTCCTTTAGGGTCCGATTCCAATTCTAGAAGATTAGAACCAAGAGTTCCTAGGTTTGGTTCCGATTTCGAATCCTACAATGCTAGAACTTGGAGCCAAAACCAAGGTTGGAGTAAGAATCAAGACTAAATTGTAATTTTTATACTTTATTAGGGGTATATTTGTTATTTTCCAAAAAATATGGTCATAATTAAAGTTTATCCAAGTACCTAGGTTTCGGTCCAGGTTTCTAAGAATTGAAACCGATCGACTCCGATTCCAAATCTTAGAAACCGAACGGTTTCGGTTCTGATTCTTTTAAAAATGCATGGTACCCAATCCCGCTCACCTTACTTTGCAACATGTTTCGACTGCTTCCTCCATGGAACTACTCCTTTAGATGTGCAAGCCAAACATAATGACATGACAGACTAGAGCTGGTTAACGAACCAAGCCGCTCGCGAGCCGACTTGGCTCAACTCGAGTTTGACTCATTAACGGCTCAGCTCAGCTCATTAGGCTCGCGAGCCTAGCCTGGCTCGTATAAGTGGGGTTTTTTGAGGGTTTTCTAAAGTATGGGGGATTAAAAAAAATTCAAATACAAAAAGTTCTCAAAAATGACAAAGACCCCCCCAATTTTAAAATCCCTAAAATCGTTGACATAACCTCTTTGCCAAAAAATAAAAACCAAACCCATTCAATTTTCAACTGATTTTCCAATCGTCTTTGGTGAGCTTCGTCATCGCCGTTGATACCATCTGATTTGCCAGAGTGTTGTCAACGTCGTAGACTCCATCTACCCATTCAACTCTCACCGTGAAACACTGAAACCCAATCCACCAACAAGCTGTCGCCATCACCCAACACCATGTTGTCGTCGTTGCCCTACACCACGCTGTTGCCGTCGCCGTCGCTCATTATTATCGCCTTCTTATTGTTGTCATCGTCGTCTGGTCATTGTTGTTGCCACCATAGTATCGCCGTCACGCTCATGTTGGTGTTGCCCATTGTTCCTGTCGCCAAATCTCGTCATCAATGCCTTTTGATTCCAACTTTTACTAAGTTTTTTTTTTTATCTAAATGAAAGCCACTACATGAAACGATTAGGATGGAAGATGCAACATGTGACCGATGAATTTGGTTTCAATTTTGATGGCTTCGAGACATAACTTTGTTTAGTTTTTTATATATTTCTAATGCAAAGTGGATGGATTGCACTTGTGTATATGTACTTGCTAGCTCGCAAACCGGCTCAAACTCGGCTTGTTAAACCGACTCGGGAGCCAAGCTCGAAATCTCTTCTCCCTAAACGGGCACGAGCCGAGCCAAGAAATCAGTGGCTCGTCTAGCTCGGCTCGAACTCGAACTCGAACTTGCCTTCTCCCTTAACGAGTCGAGCTCGTTTAGCCGAAAATTTGGCTTGGTTTGGCTTGACCCGAAAACAGCGCTAGACAGACTACAATTGATCAGATGCACATGGCAAAACCAGCAACATTAGCACAGCTATTCCTAACTCAATCAGCAATACAGGCACATAAGCAATTCAATAAAGTGCTATCTAACAAAGAACAAATTGAAAAGCAAAGAACTCCAGCAAACCAAGAACTGCTTCTATAATATCAACAGAAAGGCGCTTGATCGATGTATATTGCAGATGATACAAACTATGAGTACAATTGCACCCCAAAAAGGAATCAAATGTATTTATAATTAAAGACTCAGAGAGAAGGGAAATCAATAAGTAAACTCTATTTTGCATTTGGTATAGGAGTTTTGGAAAGTTTTCCACACAACAGGAAGATAGTATACCCAAACTATGCTAGAACCATAATTTTCAGGGCAACAAACGACGACCATGCAATAGACATTTGTAGTGTTGACAAAAAGAATACTCAAATGTTCATCTAAATGCATTTGCATAAAAACCACAACAGGACAGCTTTAAGACAAATTCAAATACACCCCCTATTTTTTTCTGTTTTACGACAGAGCCCAATCTCCATGGATAACCCGCTTGCTGAAAATAGACTGGTTCAATGAACTGATTGCACCAGTCAATCACCTTCTCATCCGACACCCGGATGTATATCTTTTTCTGTAGCCTTATTAACCTGGCCACACTCAAAATCCAAGCCAGTCAATCATCCAAAACTCAAAATCACACCTGAGACTGTGACCAAACAGGACCACAAACGACAACGACCCCAACCATTGTCCCATCATACTTCACTAGAACTTCCATATACAAGCAGTGAAAACTCCTGAAATCAATTAAAGAGAAACAGTTCAAATTTAAGAAGCTAATATGAACACTTGGGGAAAAGAAATTTTGCCCGACAAAGCAAATATGCTGCCAGAAATTATAATGTAACATCACAAACCCAAAATCAAAACATAATACTTGTAACAGGAAATACACATACCTCTAGCTGAAATTGAATCCACCAGATGGGACAGTGGGAGCCTCACCGCCTCCAAATTGGAAACCAGGTTGAGAATCATCACCAGGTGGCATTGTCTCATCCTCCTCATCCAACCAATATGTCTCAAGAATCTTCACAGCCTTCTCATAAATCTCAGTGTTGTCATGCGATTGTAAATTCTCGATTTTTTCTAAACCCTCGGCATCATCAATCATTTGAGCAAACAGATTTACCCCTCCAGTGTTTCCCAAATTCTTATCCGCCTCTCCCACCTTCAAGATGTTTTCAAGGCCTTCCAAACAAACAGTGACAATTCGAGGATCAGGACAAGTGAGGAGATCGCACAAGGGCTTGATACACCCTTGATTTACAAGGTACCTGTAACCACCAGAAACAGATAATGAGAACAAGATCTTCTTTAAAACAATATAAGAGCAGGGGACCACATATTTTCATACTTGATTTGCTCATGAGTACCACCAGACGTAGCATTTGAGATTGCCCAGGCAGCCTCTTTCTTAATCTCAAACTCAGCATTTTGAAGCAGAAAAACAAGAGGCCCAATGATGTTAGCCTCAATCACAGCCTGCAATATTTCATTAACATCAAGTGACAATACATTATTTTATATAAAAGCTTTCGCAAATCATAACTGGAATTTCGAAGTTTAAAAGACCGGCCTAAATTAAGAAGACATGAATGTTTAAGTTACCTGAATTTGTTCCTTGTTGCCAGCGGTGATATTTGAGATGGTCCAGCAAGCTTCCTTCTTGATGCTCTTTTTATAATTATTACTCAAAAGATTTAAAAGGCAAGGCAATGCTTGATGGCTGATAATGCACTGAGTTGAAATAAAAATTAAAAAACTATCAGCTTAAAAGACAATCATATTTGAACTTCAAGAATAAGTTTCCAATCGATTTTTTCTTGCATCAGTTAACCATATACTTGTGAAGTCTGGTTAGAGTCAAGCTAAAATTTAGTAAAACTTAACAAAATTTCCTTTAGAAATAATAAATGATTATTTTTGCTAAATACCATAAATGTCAGTAGAAAGAAGGGTAAGCTTAAAAATACCGGCAACAATGCAACACATCCAAGGCTATCAGCGAAGGACTCCAAATGTTGAGTCAAAATAACAAAAAATTCTGGTGGAACATCTTCCCTGATGCATTTTAAATGTTGAGTTTTAAAGGACTCCAAAACAAGTTGTAAATGCTTTTCA